AAAAGCCCCGCATAAACTTCTGTAGAATGCCTACTTCTTAAAGATTGCTCTTTTATTCCATCTGCTCCAGAGATACAGAGAGAATAACCTATCTTAAAACTTTCTCTAGCATATGCCAGTATAGGAGCAACAGAAATCATATTTATCTGTATGTTAACAAGCAATAAAGGGAGAAGATTTGAGTCCCCAAAAGTGTCTCCTCTCAGCAAAATTCTGCAGACCCTGTAGCACTGCATCACTTCACTGCACATTATTTTTCAAGAGCATAAGCTAAGAATTCCTAATTGCATGCTACATTTCAGACTGAGCACTCATTGATTTCACCTCCTCCTTCTAACCTGCCAATGGGATGTGTGAGGTTTACGTGGCAAAGGTTCTGAAGCAACTCCCAGGACATGGAAACTACCAATTATTTTACATTGTGTCAAACGGTATGATCAAGTGTTTGACTTTTGTCTCAGGTCTTAAGAAATTCGATGGTTCCATGTCTCATCTTCTAGACAGGATCAGGTGCACTTATTCAAAAATAAAACAGACCTTTTCAGATCTTACACTTGGGCAGATTTTGCACTAAAGCTGGAAGGAGAGAGGAAAATTCCAAGCTGTTTAGTATTTCATGACTGTCTACAACGTGGTTTTTGTTCAGGATAATTGTGACCGACAGTGTCCAATACTAAATACATTAATTTATTACTGATGAGCACCAACACGACCAGGCAAGCCATTGATGAAGACCAAAAAAATAAAATTCAATTCAGTCATATTCTTCATTGTCTTGTGAAAATATTGTCTTGAAGATGTAGACTGGAATTAAGCCTTGCCTTCATAGGAGTGTTAGCTCCATAACATACAAGCATCATGGCCATCAGTACAGCACTGACATTCTCACCTCCTCAACTATGCAATTCTCTGTTCCTGGACTATCAAGGTCCAGTCACAGCCATGACATTAACAACCTCTCAGGATATTAGCTGGAATGTTTAGCAGGAAGATTTTAGCAGGCTGAGATTCTTTAATATTGCCTGATCATGAGAAGTCTCACATAGAAGACAGCATGGATTCCAGTCTGAATTTTATCTTTGTTACTAGAATGCATGATAGAGTTTCATGACAAGCAGGTTAACTGCTACAGTACAGGTAAGCAAGCAGCCAATGGTTAACATAATAAATATAGACTGATGTATAAGTACTTTTATATTTTTCCTGTACAAAATGAAAAACAATCCCAACTACAAATTTCACATTTGCAAGCAGTACTCCATCTGTCCCACAGAGATGTAATAAGAAGCATGGCTGAGAAACACAGGCATGCACCAAATGCTTATCCTCAGAACATGAATAAACAACTCTGTATCTAGGCACTTAGTTTGTGCTTAATATTGCAATAATCATTTTGTGTTGTATTTCCTACCTGTCCTGTGGAAACGCAAGACAAGAAATTAAGAAGAAGTTTCAATTTTTTATTCTTGCACCAAGTTTTGAAATCTCATCTTTAAATTAAAATCCTGCACTGGTAGTGAAGGCAGAGCCGACTGAAAACATATCCCATCCATCCTTTTCAGCTACTCACTGACATCTACACCAGATTCCCACCACAACTGCTCAGTCAACAGAAAGAATCATGAGAGTTATTTGTTCTCTGCTCTAAGTAAAATCTGCCAGCTTGATGCTGGCCAGGCTCAAAGACACAGTTGCACAACACACTACAACATCTGCAAACTGGGGTACTGGGCTGCTGTTCACCAACCACCCTATGTTCTTGTGAGACTGCTCCCTGTGAGCTTCTGCCACAGCCTCCTGCTTGTGTAACCTTTCCCAAATGCTAGGTCCTTGAAATTCTCTAAGAAACATCTACATCCCTCAGCCAAGCCACCCTGAGGAATATTTGCCATCCACAGTCTCCTGATGGCTGAATCTATCTCTGCTGTTTGTCAGGAGATGCGAGTAACAGGATAAATGTGTGCTGTCTTGAACTTATTTCCTGGCAAAAACATTAGCTAATTAATAACATGCGTAGAAAACAAGATCTTGTTCAGAATATGGTATTTATAAATTATTCTGTGCACACTAACAAATTAGTAAATTAAGTCATCTAGCGATCAGAGCCAGGAACTAAGATCAGAGACTGCCGAATACTGATCTAATCAGCAATTCAGCTGCTACACAGGAGCTTAAACCACACAGTTTATTGCACCTTGGCAGAATTCATCATATTCATCTATGAAAAAGGATACATTGCCTTTTTCACAAACATCCTGCATGTTTAAGCAGGAAGATTAAGTCTTGAAAGCAAGAGCACCTAAGCACCAAGCATTGTTCCTAGATCCAGTTCAGCACATTTTTAAATATAAGCAAGAGGTGTTCTGCAACGGTAAATTTAATTTTTCTTACACATTTCCATCCTACTAGAATATTCAGTATTTTGCATATGCTATTCTTTAGTAAGGCCACTCAAATGAAACAGGTTTTCAGGTAAATGGATGCCAGTTCTACACATGACAGGCAATAGCATAAACTCCAGATTATATCTAAACTTTCAGTTCTCAACAAAAACAAGCAATAACAAAAAGTTTGGAAATATTTTCTCCTGACCACACAGTGAGGTGGTACCACTGCAGAAGCAAAGTTGTCTAACCACCAGAAACCGTAAGCAGCCCCAAACGAGCATGTTGCAGCTGGCTGTCAGTGCCACGTCACGTACCTGAGAGCAAGAGAAATGGAAGCAATAGCAGAGCACTGCAGCTGAGAGGAGGTGGTGATAGAGCAGTGATGAATAATAATTAGCATGACAGCACAGATGTTGCAGGCGGCTTGTGGTTTCACTTGGATATCTACCATTTACATGGAAAATAATGACGCGTGTGGCTGGCGTATGGAAAGGACAAAAACGTATAGGAAATTTGACCATTTTTCTTGTCCTTCCCCCACACCACCCATGCACATTGCTGCCTAGGTCATTCCAGATTTTCTTAAAGAAAACTGCATGCCATAAGGATGGCAGGGTCACACTGCTGCCTGCAAGCTTAGTAAGCTCCATGCATACTGGAGATACTAACTTTCCCACAGCTAACTGAGGAAGGCTGGATTTCACAGCTTGGATATGGCCCGAAGACAACATTTCTCTCTTACAGGGTCACAGGAACCAGCCCAGCTTGACTTCTGTAATATCCACCTCTCATATGGAAGCATTCAGCCAGAGCTGTCCAAGAGAAAAAAAATGAAGGGGTATGGTGACAACGCAACTAATACAAGACCTTACAAGTGTTGCTATTTACACCTTTATCTAGTAACCAGTATCTGCAGGGAAAATTCACACTGCTTATCTTCACACATTTAACTTACATGGCTGAGCGATAAATCTAGGCTTTTTTTGTCTAGGAAATGGGATTCAGATCAGAATTGTCCATTTTTGCTTGCAATAACTACTGACAAATGTAATAAGAAAAAAAAAAAAGGGGGAGTGTCTTGGGGAGGTAAATTTGCTATTGTGAAACTTTAAATTCTCATTCCAGTACTTATTTTTTTTTTTTTTTTTTACATCATCTCTGTCTCCCAGTCCCAAACTCACCACCTTCCCTCCTTAAGGCTCCCAGTTCCTCCTTTCTCTGCCTTTCACTTCCATCAGTTCCTTCATTTTTGGTTTCTTTTCAGTCTCCCCATGCTTCTTTAGCTTATCTTCTTATGTGCACAGGTGAGGTCTAGGACCTGAAAGAATCCTTGCAAGGGACAGAGAGGGACATCCTAAGGATGGGGAATGCCCCTTGTAAGAGGCAGTGCTGTCACTCATGATTCACTTTCAGGTTAATAGCACAAGTAGGTACTGAGGATCATACAGAATGCTACAGTTTCACTTTGAGCGTCTAAGGAGAATGTCTCGAGACATACTGAAGCTCAGAATTTTTTGTGCTTAATAGTCCTTTAAAGAAAGGAAGCACTGTTTGCTTTTGCTGAGGCACAAGTAGCTACTGCAACCATATCTATACAGCCGGGGCCTTGGAATGTATCCCATGATTTTGACTCTGTTGTTGTCTATATCAAAAGCCCACCAACAAAGACAGGCACATCAGAAAATGTTGGGTACATAGCTCATCTTAAAAGCCGTGCATTTTCAAGGGGAGCAGCTGCTCTTGGGAAATGGTCCTGTTTCAAACATACCAACTGTGATCAGCATCCTCTCTGAAACCGTCATATTAATTTCTACTTATTGGGGTATCTGTGATGAATTCAAGATTGGGTCTTTACACTAAGTAGCAGGCACACATCACATGAAATAGTCTCCATCACACACGGAGACTTCATGGTTCCTCTGGGGGACGGCATGTCCACTCCCAGAGAGCAGTCTCCCAGCTCACTGCTCAGGGAATTCCACCTCTATTTACCACTGTTTTTAAATCCCTAGGGAAAACTGCAGTAACTTCACTACTAGCTGGGACAGAAAGGCTGGTCAGTAGCCAGCACGACTAAGAGGAGTTGTGTTCCTGTTTTTCCAGTCCAGAACTCATGGAGTTGAAGAAACCTGGGATGCAGTTGTACTGTTCTAATCCATCTAGTTCAGTTTTATAATGGAAAATTGACACAGAAAGAAAGATTTCCCTGAAGGAGACAACATATATAAAGCACTTCATCTTCTCTTTTTTATCATGCCTGGCACAGTTAAATGCTAACGTCATCTAACAGCACAGCTTACTATTTATCTTGAGCATATCTCATTCCTCACAAATCATACTGCTGAGACTTAGGGAGTAAAAAGTATATTGAGACAGTTGTTGAGGAATGAAGGGACAATTACATCCTCAGGAAAAAAAAAAAAACAAACAACAAATAAGTGTTTTTCCTGCGCTGCTTGTCGTTCAGGTTGCAACCTTTAGGTGTCCAGACACACTGAAGGTCTGACTGGCTGCAGCTGTAACTGAACAGGTACAAACAACACCTCTGCTAATTAAGGTAGCAATTCCAAACCATTTCATTTGTTCTTATTACTGTAATTGACTTGCCTTTGATAGAGAGAAACAGGAGGCAGAATAATCAGTCAGATTCTTAATCTTCTCCCACAGCATGCAACAACGCTCAGTGGTTGCACCCAGACTTCTTGGACTTGTGCACCCGACAGTGCACCTGTGGAAATGTGGTGTACAACACCTTGCACTTCACAGAACCTGAAAGCACAGATTGCATGCAAGACAAGGACAAAGGCAGAATTACAGTGGGAATTTTCCACAGATCACCCAGGGTCTTCAGGCTGTCTAGGCTTACGCAAGGCACTTCTCAACACTTTCCAGCAATTCAGATCAGACCGCAGAACCCCTAATTCTGCTCCAGGGTGAATTGAAACACACCTGAAATCAACCCTCTCTTCCAGTTTTCTTGGAGTTACTGTGAATTCAAATGTAATCCAACAACGGATGTGTAAGCAAGCAGGAATTCACTACAGTGACCCTGTACAAAATCTACCCTTACTATTTACCTCAGAAGTTGAATCTGTGGTTAAATCTTCAGTACCTATGAATATTTATAGCAGACTATCAGTACGTTTTCAACCATATCTCTTAAGCAGCTTTTAAAGCCACTTGTATTTTTTTCAAGATTTTCCACCTGCAGAACCAGGTCAGAAGTGTTCTTTGCATCTGGAGAATCACTCACCAGTTACAAAATCTTTCAGCAACAGGATTCCTAAACTATTGGTACTTTCCAGGAAGAAGAAAAAGGGGTAATGAGCAGAGTTTTTTTTTAATTATTCATATCAAACACACACAGACTTCCACTTGATCAAATTAAACAACTGATTAAGAGTGCTAACGTTGAAAAATGAATAAGCAGGGAAACCAAAGGAAAACACTCTCTTTAATCAGTTTTGAAAGACTCATTTCATCCCTCTTATTTTCTCCTGTAAGTTCTAAATGTTAATGATTCTCTCACAGGCATCCCTGTCACCATTAGATTCATTGCTGTTGGAGGGAGAATAGAAAGCAACACTGGATAAAAGTCAGTACTATTTCAATGGCATTGTCACACATTTTCACAATGCAACAAATTTCCCCGAGAACTTCCCATTACGAGATAATAAATCCCGGTGTAATTCTAATTAAAAGCAAATAGGAGTACAAAATGAGAGAGGACCTGACCTCGGCATTCAGCTTTGTCAATAGTCTCACTGGAATGAGAGAATAGGGTCGCGGATAAAATGCTGTAAATAAACAGTGTTAGGAAGATGAACATCTATATTAGTAGGCCGTTGGCCTGCTTCAGGGGCAAGAGTGAGCGCTTTGGGTGCAACCACCTTGGTGTGAAGGCTAAGTCTGTTTATCAGACTAAATGTGGACTCTTCAACAGCAACAACTGGCATTTTCATTCAGGTATTTTATTCACAGGCCTATCTGAAAGTTAGAATTATATATATAAAATACATCTCCCTCCCTAATCTCAAATTCACAAGCTACTATGAGCCCCCTGGTTTTAGTAGTGTCTATGCCCCTGGCATTGCAGTACTTTAGCATGACAATTGATACTAATGCGAGTACCGGTATCCGTAGAAATATTTTGATGAACCCAAATTGATTTCAAAGTCAGAATCATAGGTTTGGCTCTTATTTATAGCCTGTCAGAGATGGGATGATCTTCTGCTGGGATTCTGCCACTCTTTCCCTGCTCTGAGTTTCCGTTTGCAGCAACCTTTGTTTGAAGGCAATCCCATGGTGATGGCTCCATTTGAAACAGAGGTATACCACAGACCTACAGAAAGTGGCAAGCTTCATAAAACATCCCAAAATACTCTAAACCATCAATATTTTGTATTACTGCTTAAATAGATCTTCTTAAGTAACACAAGGTAGTAAGTGAGAATTGCATATATTTAACATTAGGACACATCCACATCCTTCTGAAAAGTTTTCCTATCTAAAAACGTAATTCCAGTTACTATCACATTTTCATTTCATTGTTTGTTTTTTTTCTTTAGTTTTTCTGCTCAGACTTTGGTTCATAACTTAAAGTGAGATTAACTGTATCTATGCTCAATCATGTCAATCCTTTCCTCGGGAAACAAAGAAAAGTGGATTTTCCATTCAAAAACCCTTGTAGGGAGAGCTTTTGGCTACCTAATCAGGGCTCTTGACTTAGACAGTAAAAATTTGATTCAACTTCTTAACAAAGAACTCCATCTCATGCAGCTACCTTAGATCACCACGCACCAATCTGAAACACCAACACTGGTTTGATACGTAGGTCTTTGAATTACCACAAAGTCCATCATTGCCTTCGGTGAGGAGGAGAACTTCAAATATGCAGAACTGTGGTACATATTTCTATTTTTCTCCCTGATAAGGGCAAGAACCCACTGATAAGAAACACTTAAGACTACATGCAATTGTGGATTATGCTATCATGTACCAGGATATTCTCATGTAGCCTGGAAGGGGATGTTTTGGTAACAGCTTTTTTTCCATGTTATGTTTCCAGGGATATAAATAGAAAACGGAATCTTTTAAATCCAACTCTGCTAACATCAAGAGAAAGTCAAGCCATTCTCAAGTAAATAGCCCAGAATACATTTGAAAGGTAATGCTTGATAAAAGGATTAAAATGCAACTCTAGCTATCCTGTGTTCTTCTGGGTTCCAATATCTTTTTTTCCCCATGTTCAATGCAAATAAATAAGTCTAATGACTCTGAAGTTACAGAAATGCATTTTAAACAGGAATTTCTCCAACGGCCGTATGACTTCTTCCTAAATATGAGAGAATGTGCTGACAATACAACAAAAAAGCAGCTAATGCTTTGAAAGTTACTTTCCCTGCCTGAAAACTGGTTAAATTAAGAATATTTCAACCACTGTTTATATTTCCTTAAATTAAGATAATTTATGAAGATAAAAAAAAAAGAAATACATCCAGCCAATTGTATAAGATGCCGCATCTTTCTTAGTGTTGCATATGCCTCCACTTACTTGCTGACTTTCTGAACTCCTCACAGTTATTCTTAGGACCAAATTCAGACCCACAATCAAAAGATACAAATCGTATTTCTCTCAGTACAGCTGTCTCTCCTCAAAGACCATCAGCTGTCTGATGCAGATCTTGGGAAAGTACTGTCCCCATAATGGAGGAAGTCTTCGCAAGTCATAAAATTTGAAGCTCATTTGGGTGGAATATGATCCTTATGATCATATGGTCCTTCTACTTACTTTCTTTTCCCTCCATCCAGATACGAGATTGTCATATGCTGTAGTCTACTGGTGTCAGCACACACTTCCTGACTAAGCCTTGTATCATCTAGCATAATCACTTAGACCTTCTCTGTTACACTCTATTTTCTCTTAGATTCAATGTTGTTTTGCTAGCAATAGTCTCATTTTATAGCAAACATGAATGATTTTAACAATCATTTCTGTGGGACTTGCATTCACTCTCTCAATTGGTTTTCATAAAATTAGAGATGAAGACCTGATATTAATAGGTTTGTTTTTCCTCAACAAGACTTTTAAAACTGGAAACGCCCAGTGAGAAAATGCCAAATAATATGTCACTGTGTTTGGAGAGGATTCAAACAGAGCGCTCGCACCAAAATGATTCCCATTCAGAGAATCAACTGCAGGAGATACTGCACCCTCCTCTCGTTCAAGCAAAGCTCCATTCAACAATGCAGGAAACCCAATCTCAGTTTCTGTAGAGGATGATTCAAGCAGGTGGACAGCTTTTTTTTTTTCCTAATAAGGTCAATGCCAAAATACATATCACAGAATCATACGCTAATTTAGATTGGATGGAACTTAAGGAGATATTTTAGTCCAATTTGCTCAAAGCAGAGTCAGATAAGGCTACTTAGAGTTCTATTCAGACAGGTCTTGGCAACTTCAAGGAGTGGAGACTGGGCGACCTAATCCACTGTTATATTACCTGCACAATGAAATAAGATTTATTTCTATCCAACTACATCCTCTGTTCCTTTGTTCTTTTGTCTCTTAGCACTCCACTATGAAGAGCCAAGGGCTCTCCAAGGCCCGCTTCTTAAACACCAGTTCCCCTGAGCCTCCAATTGTCTTCTGCTGAGCTTGCTCTAGTTTGCTGGTGTCTTGTTTGTGTTTGAGGGCCCAAAGTAAATGAAGATACTCCAGATGTGTACTAACAAAGCTCAGTAAAGGGAAAATAACTCTTCTGATCAATCTACTGGCTGTGCTCCTGTTAATACAACCCCAGAAGCTGTTGGCCTCCCTGGCTGTCAGAGCACACAGCTGACTCATATTCAGTTCTCTGCCTATCTGAAACCCCAGGTCCTTTACACCAGAGCAGCTTACAGTCTGGGCTGTCACAGGAGGCCATTCCTTTCCAGGGACAAGATTTTTACATTTATTCTTGTTGTATTTTTAAAGGTTCACACTAGCCATTTCTCTAGCCTGTATTCTTCTGAATGGCAGTCCTACCAGCAATCATGAGAGCACTCTGTCGCCTCTTCTAGAGCATGCATTTATAAAGATTTTAAGAACACTGACCTCTCAAACACAAGAGCTTCTAGCTCTAGAGGGAGTCCTAATTGTAGAAAATATTTTTTTTTCTGAAGTCAGCAATTCCTAAATAAGGGATTAAAATAAACTGTAAATTTATTTGCTGAGAGGAGGTCCAGGCCACTCAATTCTTGCCCAGAGTGGTAATTATGTTACGTTTGGCAATGAAATACTTGATGCTTGCAGACTCAGCAGTTACTGCTGGGTTAATAAACACATGAGGTGCTGGTCATTTTTTCTGTTACAGAAGTGCTGTTCACCTTTCCAGTCTTTAGCCAGTCATAATGTGGTGGAACATACCATTCCTCTTCTCACTGATAACGAAGGGCTGATAACAAAAACTCTGTCCAATCTCATTTTCCTTTGGGAAACCTCTGCTGAGCTAAAAGTAATAATACCTAAGCCCATACCGAAGACATAAAATTTCCTTATTCCTGAACGTGTAGAATCTGTCATCTTTTGTCCAAAGAAGCAATTAGGGAAATGATTTAGTGAAGATTGCTTCAGAAATAAGGATGAAACAACCTCAGGAAATTCCATCAAATATTAACACCTTCTCTTTTTGATTTTATGCTGCTACAGAAGTATTATATTTAACTAGTGGTACCTTACAATTTCTATCATTTTTCTCTTTTTGCTTTGTTAGTCCATAAAGCAATGCACAAAACAGACATCACTATTTCATGCACAGAGTTGCTGCTTACATCAACAAGAGAACACTCATCTAAGGTTCACCCACAAAAGGCACTGCTAACAAAGCTCTTTCTGAACTCAAGTCATTGTACCTTTTCTGAAACAGAATAAGTAGTGCACTTGCCAGGCAAGTTATGGCTACAAGGAGCATTCCCCCCCAGCCTCCAAAGGGTTTGTCTGCAACTAATGGAGAACTTCTCAGGTTACTAATTTGGAGCCTTCGTACCCTGACCCTTCCAGAAACTCTGGGAAATTTTGGTCACAGAATACACCTTCTGCCTCCCTTTCTTCTCTTGTCCTTTGTCTGATTTGGCTATAGATATTCTGTGACAGAGTCTCTTGTTATATGTGTAAGTCACATACAAATAACAGAGTTTTTTAGTGGCAGCTGCTTTGTGAACCAGATGGCCCTTGAAACACTATTCCTTCAGAGATGCAAGATTTGCCACCACTTCTGACACAGTAATACACCAGCCCTCCTGAACTTCCAGTACTCATGAAAGAAAAGAAGTCAAACTACTTTTTGCTTCATTGTTTATCAGGTTACAGATTAGGGAAACTACCAGATGCATCAGCCATGCTAACGGCAACAAACCAGTAGTTTTGAGATCCTTTTCTCTCAAGACACAAGAAAGCAACAATAGTGGCATTTGCCAAGTGCAGGCATAGTAAGGCTCCTCCAATTCCTCCTCCTCTTCCCATGGGAATGCAACAAAACCAGAAGCCCTAAAAGCACGATTCCATTCAGCCACCTGCTTGGTGTTATGATCACCTTAAACATCCCTTTTGCAAAAACATTTACCCAAAATCAGCCAAAATACCATGGGTAGTACACTTTTAGCTAACTCTGCAGACTCTCTGCACCCCTCTGCACCCCTATCCCCCCAGAAAACCCATAAAACAATGTTGTAACAATCTATGGCATTTTCAAATAGCCAAGACAAGTGAACACAAATATGGAATCCTCATTTAAATTCAATGAATAAGAAAGCAGGTTTTGAAATAAATGTTGCATGGCTGCAATTTTTGCCAGTCTAGCATTTCCTTCACACAATCCAAAAAAAATCAAGGAAGGTTAACATAAACAGACTGCCAAGGAGATCATTCAGCTTAGCATCACAGGAAGATGTGCACTGTATGAAGCCCGTCCACACTGCAGTAGAATTGCTGAACCATGCAGTTTGCTTACTCCCACCTCGAATCAAGAGAGGTCTTCAAGATGATACTGCATTTGTATGCTGAAAGCCCAATTGCAGCACTCAGCTACTGGCAACACAAGGTGTTTGCTATTTTCAGTTACTCACCCAAAAACATCAAGAAACATCACAGGGAAATAGTAGCTAAAAAATATGTAGAGAAATATAGCATTTTTATCTCCTTAAGAGACATTGTTCAAGATATACAAACAAAATCAGCACAGTCTACAAATCAAAGTGTTTGTTGTGATCGTATTTTAATCACCTGGTAAGACTTCGGTCTGAAAAAGCAGCACCCTATTTCATACAAGCTGCAATTCAATGGTACGTGATGAGTTACATTTTCAGTAATAAATCCTGTCAAGTCAGCAAGAGAAACAGATGAAGATCTAATGAAATAACCTATGGTTAGGTGGATTTGCTAAAAACTTCCGTTCTTAAGTGGCAGAAACAAAACTGAAGTATGTGGGGACTATGAGAACAAAAGGTGTACAAAAGGTTAGGAGATGGTAGAGATGCAGGCATATGGATACAACTGTGAGAATGGGTGGTAGTTATGGTTGAAATACTGAATATGAAGAAAGCTTTATTAACACACTGAATATCAGACTGATAGAAGTAGTCCAAGCATTACAGCCTTAGAAAAGAGCAGCAGAAATTTGTTGGGAATAAAAAACTAACAACAACAAAAAAAACAAAACAAAATAACCTTGGGGTTTCTGGTCAACAGATAGTTGAACACAAACCATCAGTGGGTCCACGTGCCCAATGGCAACCTGGCCTGCATCAGAAAAAGCATGGCTAGCAGGAGTAGGAAAGTGGCTGTCCCTCAAGACTCAGCCCTGATGAGAGCACAATCTGAACACTGTGTTCAGTTTGGATCCCTCACTATGAGGATATTTTATTTCTTGAGCAAGTGCAGAAAAGAGTAATGAAGCTGTTGAAGAGACTACAAGACAGGAGTTATGAGGAGCAGCTGAAGGCACTTTGATTCTTCCAGAATGGAGAAGAGGCAAGACCCCACTGCCCTCTACAACTACTTGAAAGGAGGTTGCAGTAAGGTGGTTGCTGGTCTCTTTCTCAGTTGATACACGATAGGACACTTGAAGTAACAGCCTTAAGTAGCACTAGGGGAGATACAGATGAGCAACCTCCAAGAATTTTCTTAATGTTTCAGTTTTGAATAGGCTGCCCATGGATGTGGTAGAATCCCATCCCTGGAAGCATCTAGGAGATGTGTAGACTTGGCACTAAGGTACATAGTTTAGTTGATGGGACTCAATAAGACAGATCGATGTTTGGACTCAATGGATCGTGAAGGTCTTTTCCAACCTAGATGATTCTATAACTTTTTTTAATTAACATTTGTGGACCAACACAACTGACATCCCAGATGGTCATGGCCAGGTTTGAGTAAAACTACCACATGTTCTTCTCCAGATACCACAAACTATAAAAAGAAAAGCTAGGTTACTAGTGCCTGCAAGACTGCAGAACTACTCAGATACTGCTAGAATCCAGTAACAGAAAGAAAATGAAGCTGGCTGGTCTGAACCTCAACCCTAAGCTGGAGGTAAGAAGCTCCACGGGACAGGAACTCAGCTGAAATCTCACACCAGACTCTAGTGAAAAAGGAGGAGACAGAATAGAACAGCATGATTTCAGCAGCCATGGTTGCATTGGAAAGTAGCAGTGTCTGCCACCTAGTGACTTTAAGCCAAAGATGAGTTGCAGACCTTTCCAGTATTGTAGGGATAAGGCTACAAGAGCTTATTTTAGAGTTCTACACAGCAGGAAGCTACTGACATTGCTGTACAACCACTTTTCACAGTCACTAAAGAGAAGCAAGCGTATGTATCTAGATACTCATACCTTTCGGTGAGCTATAAAGTTCTTTCCAGTGACCAGCTCCAGAGTAGATGAAACAATTCTAATTCTCATAAAGCAGTTCTAAAAATGAACCAAAAATTGCTAAAATGCATATACTTACGTAACACAGAGAAAAGGGGCTAATCTGCTAACAAAGAAGCAAAATTGTAGCTGACAGGTTCTTGGTCTTGACTGAGCAAAGCATTCACAGGTAGACCAACAGTCATATACAGAAAGAAGAACAGAACTCACCCACCTGTTGAAGAGGCTCTATGATCATACAGCACTCCCTCCCAAAGAGCAGCCTAGGTCCAAGCAATGCTCTTCCTTCAGTGGATGGCCCTTGTATGAGCCCAGGCTGGCTCCACCCTGGGTCCACCCCTTCTGATCACATGGAGAACACAGGTGCAAACAATTTGGCTGTGCTCCCTGGGCCAGCCACATTCCTTCACCAGGTGCTCAATCACCAGTTTAAAGCAGGACATAACAGTTCCCTACAGTAGTCTAGGACCCCCTGTTCTATTACAAGTGCCTGTCATATAGCTGAGCCAGGTGAGAAATAAGAAACCCACCAGAAGATAGGAACCTGAGTTACAGCTTATGTTTGTCTTTTTCTATAAAGAATTATGATGATCAGATGAAACCAAGATGCTCACTGTAGAAATGTTGAATCTGTGGACCTTGCATGCTACCTGCTATTTTTTGTGGCTCTATCCTGGTGCAGAAAAATAAATGCTTATAGGAGAACAAAAAAAAGAGTGTCTACTTAGTAGATAGCTAGCATGTACTAATGACTTTTTCCTCTGAGAGAAGCAATGTTCAGAGGTACCAGGTGCTACCTAAATACTGAAGCCAAGGGGACAGCAGCAATTAACGTGTAGATGGACTTACGATATTCAGATATGTGAATGTATCTTCACTTCTCGAAGATTCCTTGCGAGTCTTCACAAGAGTACTTTTGTTACTGTTAATTGATCTTCTCTGCTCACATCAAGAAGGGATATTTCTGCTTTATGCATGCAGCTGTCTAAAAGCAGGAACTGGCTGTGTTCAGCTATTGCTGACTCATTACAAGGAGTTCGTAGAATTCATCATCATTAAAAAAAACTTAAAATACGTGAAGATAGGATAGGGCTTTTTAATATTAAAATATCTAAGTTTTTTCTATTAGTTAATGCCTGAAGTTAACATATGTGTGCAGGGTGGTAATTAATCTTCCTAGCAGTATCTCGATGGACAGTATTTCTACTGGAGGGCCTTCCTTAGCACTACATAAAATGGAATTTTTGAAAGGTCAGTTGATGTTGCGGAAGCCCTAGCAGTAACTTGTGCTTAGACTGCTAATACACTGGCATTTCTTAAACAATCTGATAGAATTTAATTATATTACCTTATGCTACAGTAACCAGCATTAACTCAGGTTAAAGCAAAAATAATTTGGCTTAAATCTTCCATGCATGATACTACATAGCACAATCTCTGTGAATGATAATTTGCCAGGAACACTCAGGAATCCTATTAGATCTCTTTATTTGGAAGCCAGAAGATACACAAGACACAGCAAAAATTACAAGCTTACTTCACTGATTCATAATAAGTGCAAAATACTAACAAAGCCATTGGCAGTGATGTTTGAGTCTAACTAACAACATTCTGTCAAATTAGTGATTTAGAAATAAGATACTCAAAACAATAATTTGTAATTTGAGAATCCTTATTTGCCAAAAACATTCTGTGCAGAACATTTACATTTAAAATGATCACATGTGCAGTCATCATTGAGAATATTCGCTAGGACCTTCTCTTTCATACACACCATAAAATATGTTTTGGAAAGAAATTCTACAAATGAATCCAACAGACTGAAGATTTTATTACTTTGGGGGCAGGCAGTCAAACCTTCTTGAAGTCATTAATATCTAGACATGACTTGTCTCTCTTCAGTTATTTGACAGTGCTTTTGAAAACCATAGCATCTGATACTCTGACAAAGATTTACTGAAGCAATGATGTGAGGATAAACCTAACATATAAAAACATTATCATGATCCTCTGCAAATAATACGGCTAAACAAATCTAGTGATTCATTGTTATTTTCAAGCAGCTTTATAGTGATGACACCAAGAATTTGACAGAATTCACCAGAAAGCCATGAAAACAGCACCTTATCTACATGTACTACGACAGTTAAAGAACTTGAAGCAAATAAAACATTTTTTTCTCACACTAGTAAAGCATCTCTCTCCATCAGGGTGGTTTAATTGCACTAGAAATGAGTGAAGTTATTTAGATTTTTATCATTAGCAATTTGGAAGACCAAACAAGACACATGAATCAGAGAAAATGGTGTGATAACAGCATAGCTAAATGAAAACTTTTCATCTGTTTCTGAGATTACATAATATGAATAAATATACCTAATTCAGTAAATACTAGATATTCTTCCCCTGAGTGGTCCTCCTATCACTTGTGGAAAGCAAGAATGACGAGCTTCTTCTAGAGGAAGGGCATTAAAAATCCCAAAGATTTCCACATAGCGCACTGGATGTGTTTGTAACTGGGTGCCAACACAATTAATTCCCATGATTCTCTTAAGCTAGATGCTCCCACCTGACCAATTTATGGGTCAGCAGTTTAAAAAACAAAAGAAAAAAATAAAAAACACAACAAAAAAATTGCCACCAAATTCAGCCTTTTTTGTTTTTTACATATGTCAAGACTCTTCTCTGCTGTTATAAGAGGCATTTTTCCTCAATGAATTCCAATTTTACTTTAATTTTTGCCTAAAAGCTTGGATGTGTTTTATTGTTGTTATTGTTTTGTTGTAATTTTGTTTTTGTTATTGCCTTGCAAGTTATGATACAAAAGATATGGGTCAGTCACAACCTTTTTCATTGTGCTTCTTACAGAAGGGAAGATCTGCAAAAGTGTAGTTGGCAGCAGTTCTAATATTTCCAAGCCAAATCCACTCAAAGCCAGGAAATGCAAAAGTACATGATTTCCTTCAGCAGCTACACTTCTATGCCGTTTTCCAGTTGCCATCATCTTTCTCCAACACCATCTGTTGCACTACTTGTGATTTTTGCATCTATCCTACCTAAACCTTCCTCTAAACTTCCAAACTGAGGATTCATGCTCCATTTTCTTTTTTCTACTTATGTGCCCCCCAAAACTTTATGCCAGCTCAGACTCAAAGAGAAACTTCTCATCATTTTATCTTTGGCTATTGCCTACTCCATGACTCACCTTCCTTAGGTTCTTTGTCTGTGCTCTTCACACTCCAGCTCTTTCTATTTCTCCATCTTATGTTAATGAATTCCATTCATTGAGTTTGGTAGCCAAGCTCTATAATCCTCATTAATGTCTTGCCACATTCTAATACAGTTAGTTTTCTAAATTCTGCTAGTTATCTTCTCTTACTACTTCACATCCTCTTTTTCACTCCTAATACCCTCATTGACTTACAAATTGTAACTGTTCAACTATCACAGAATTAAAAATTGATATTTTTTCCTTGTTTCTAATTCAAAAAAGGGAAGTAGGACTCAAGCTGTACAAAAAAGCTTCTAATTTTCCTGTTTGACCTACTACTGATATTATGGCCACTGAGATGATCCAACAAGTTGCAGCGCTGGCTGATAGCATGCTAGATACTCTTTTAAAACAAATAAAGCAGTCATGCTTCCAAATTACCTGCATTTTCCTGCACCACACAGTACAGTTTCCCTAAATTCCATTTCACAATCTCATTTCTACCATTTCCCTTGTGGTACTTCTTATTATCACCAGCAGAACCAGAGGAACTGAGCAGGGAACTTGTAAACGGAAAGAGAACAGTGGAAGTAAATTATGCTATGAAAAGAATAGTGAGATTGATGTAGACTGCTCATTTTGGTACTGAAATTATTTGTAGGATGAGTAGCTTCTGAAGAAAATATAATTTTATGCCACGGTACTCTACCCAATGTCCTTGCACACCAAAACACATTCTCAAGTCCAAAAAAGGTTTGCTAAGCTTTGATTATACGGCCTGGAAACTCCAGTTACGCTACAAGTCTGTTTATGGAGTCATTCATTCCGTGCATGAGATGTTCTCATTGCAATTTTTATTAGCCTTCGGAGCATGCTTTCCATGTCTCCTTTGTAAGGAAAGTACTGGGTGACTCAGCAAGCAGTTTGCTGCAAACCTATTGCCCATAAGCCCATTACTGATACAATCAATTTAGCTGCAACTACCACCAGGTTGCTTTATCGTAAAATCCCTGCAGTAGAAGCTTGCAATGCACTGAGAATTCATGGTTCAGGCTCTCAAATAGTTACTGCATCTAAGATTGAATGACTGCAGCATTTTGGAAATGATGAAATAATTTTAAATAAAATTAGTACAATGAAGTTTAAGATAAATGCTGAGGTGTGGGAGTAGAGATGTTGGGAGACAACACATGCTATTTATGTATTTATTCTTCTTCTAAATCATTCTTGATCTGGAAGGATAAATTAAAGACTTCTAGCAATTTCTGACATATAAATACAGATCAGCTTATGTTCTTATCTCTCCAGTTCCTAGTATTTGTGGGGGAAAATATGCGTATATTCATAGAATCATAGAATAGAATCATAGAATCATAGAATCACCAAGGTTGGAAAAGACCTAAAAGATCACCCGGTCCAACCGTTCACCTATTCCCAATAGCTCCCACTAAACCATGTCCCTCAACACAACATCCAGCCTTTCCTTGAACACCCCCAGGGTCGGTGATTCCACCACCTCCCTGGGCAGTCCATTCCAGTGCCTGACCACCCTTTCTGAAAAGTAATACTTCCTCATGTCCAGCCTGAATCTCCCCTGCCGTAGCTTGAAACCATTCCCCCTGGTCCTATCACTAATGACACGAGAGAAGAGGCCGACCCCCAGCTCACCACAGCTCCCTTCAGGAAGTTACAGAGAGCAAGGTTTTCAAACCTTAAGATGCACCTGAGCCAGCAATATGCCTGTAATCTGATCGTCACTGTGATGCTTATTTCTGAGTGCAAATTTAGAACAGAAACACATTAAACACATTCTTTCTGAAATACAATTGTAACACCTCTCTCAGTTTCAATTAAAGCTAATTTCCCAGTAGCCTACTGACTGACCTCAAACAGGGGCTCTAGAACCTACTATTTCCTATGTCATGAAATACCTATTATAAAGGGTATGTCACCAATACATAGCATATATAGGATGTGGCCTATCCCAACTGAGAGCCAGGTATACCAGAAGATGTCAAGATGCTCGGTTGTCCCAAGTTTAGGCTGCGCAGCTTCTGACAAGGAGAAAGTTAGATCGTATTGCAG